GGACAGGAATAAAGACATAGATGTAGAGAATGGACTTGAGGACATGGGGGGGGGAGGGTAAATTGGGAAGAAGTGAGAGAGTGGCATGGACTTATATATACTACCAAATGTAAAATAGATAGCTAGTGGGAAGCAGCCACATAGCACAGGGAGATCAGCTCAGTGGTTTGTGACCACCTAGACGGGTGGGATAGGGAGGTTGGGAGGGAGACGCAGAGAGAGGAGATATGGGGATATATGTATATGTATAGCTGATTCACTTTGTTATAAAGTAGAAACTAACACACTATAGTAAAGCAATTATACTCCAATAAAGATGTTAAGTAAAAAAAGGGATTTAGCTGTATTACTATAAAACTTCATTTACACAAACAGGCAGCAGGCTGGATTTAGCACAGAGTGCAGTTCCCAACTCCTGCACTAGAATATTAGCTACATAAAGCCTTGTTTTGTTCCATTATATATAAAAAGCATCTAGAACAGTGCCTGGTAAATAGCAGGCACTCAATAAACATTCATATAATACTCTTTGAATAGAAAAAGAAATCCACAGTTCTATTATATATCTATTCCATTTAATGTGTATTTCTAGAAAAGAGGGAGGTCATTACAAAAGGACTCAACTTAAGGGTAACTTGTATCTAAAATCTGATCTGCAAATCCAGATTAAACTATGAAGCATGGTTAATAAAGTCTCTAAAAGAATAATGTACCCATCATCTAACTCAGCTACTGTTTTAAAGGACCATAACTGTGAACCTTTGTATAAGTTAAAAAAAAAAAAAAAAAAAAGAGAGAGAGAGTTCCATGTTCAAAATAGAGCCTTTAGGAAAATGTTTTTCTCATTATAATTTCAGTAACAAGAAGGCATCTTTTCTCACTTGTCCCAGAGGCTGTGAATCCCATTAAGAGGAACTTTCATGGCAGAGTCTTATGGTTATCATAAACAATCATAGGGACTACAGTGGCAGAGCGCCAAAAGATCAGGAATAAACATTCAAATAAGCAATTAAAGAAGTAAGGATTTGCTAGACCAGGTAGGATGAAAATAATTTCTTCTTTATTTATGGAATTATATTTCCTTCACCTTTGATCACTCAGCCAAATGATCTCTTTCTCAAATAAGATATGGAAATTACAAAGATCCTAACCAGTAGGGTTATTTCTTATATTAAAACATAATAATACTTACAGACTTTCTGATATCTTTTGAAGAGAGATCAATTAATTTCTTGTTCATAGACCATTCTTCATCAGTTTCCATTATGGCTTTCTAAGAAACAGCCATTTGTCAATTAAAAAATAATACACAAGTAAATACAAAGAGTTTAAAAGTAAAGTAATATGGTGAATTAATTATAAGGTTTAATATACATGTTAGGTTATTAGTTTGAATGAATTAAGCCTTTAATTTCTGTTATTTAAAATTGGAATTTCTTGAATTCATACAAGTCTTATCTTTAGCCAAAATAATACTATTTTACTCATTCTTAACTCTTGTACTAACTTTAGCTCACCTTTACATAACAAAAACAATCCTTAGTAAGACCAAGCAATTTAATATTGAACGGAATTTGTGAATATAAAGTTCACAAATTCCTTACTCCATTCGTAGACATCTACTCAAATAAATTCATTTTGTTTTATTGCTCTTCTTCCGTAGAAGAAGTATTTGGCAACCAAATACTTGAACTATTTCTGGCCATAGAAAAAAGAAGTAAAAATGCATGGGAAAAAATACATAGACATGGAATTATAAGACTTTCTAAGCTAATCAATATGACTAGTATTTATGGTAAAGAAATATTTAATAAAAAGAAAAGCCATGGTGATAATTATAAAATAATCTCATTTTTATACATCATTACTAATGAAGTAAATTTTAAAGGTGAAATTAACATTCAAATAAGCATAGTTTAAATACATCAGGTATACTGCTGCTCCCTATTTAAAAGACATGGATTGCTTGTGTTGACACTATAATGTAGCACATTCAATATAAAACTGAAGCTAAATCAAATAAGTACATCTTTAACGATCATATAAAAGATACAATATAAAAGAAAAGTGGCATACTATTCTGCTAAGAGATGACATTTCTGTCACCCACCATGAGCAACAGTAGCTGCTCTATGTTGTGTCCTATGTACTTCAATACCTATAGTCACAATCTCCTAGGGCTCACTGAGGAAGTACAAGAGAAAAAAAAATTGAAGAAAAGCATAATAATCTCTTTCTCAATTGATTCTGTTTAATACAGGACTGACATGGGTTTGGGAATTATCTGGCTTGTTTTCCTATACTTTACTAGCATGACTTCAAAGCAAAGAATCAGATTGTTTTTAGAAATTTCTATAGGAAAAGTTGATTTTCACCACCTCATCAACCTTAACAGGTTTAATAATCCTTTTTTAAAATAATTCTTTTTATTGGGATTTACAGTCCATATTAATTAAAATTTACCATCCTATATGGTCTAAATGTTGCATTTGCAAGTTTCTATACCACCTCATAAAACATTATCTTCTTCTTTAATTGTACACATTACTATTTCATATATGGTTCTACATTTACAAATTTATATTAGTCTATAAATTACACTGCACTCAGGCCAATATCAAACAAATGCTATTTAGTTAAACCTGCTTGAACATTATAATGACACAATTGCTTAAGAACTCTAATCATTTATTACAATGTCCAAAGATGTATGTCAAGGTTAGATTTTAGTTTCTTTTTACAAAGAGCATGATGAGGTATTAAATACTAAAACTTGCAGCAATAACTTGTCTCTGCAATTGTAATTTTTTTTTTTAGCAATTGTAATTTGTACTGTTTGCATGTAAGTATGTTTGGCCCTAAGGAATTTAAATTATAAATTATAAATTTATAGAGTCATGACTACAATTTTGACTTGAAAGTATTTCAAGGTAGAACTTGATTTTTCATTTGAGAAATGAAAAATTAAAACCGTAAATTACCATTTGATAGTATATTCATACTTATAAGTAAGCATGCTTTTTAAAGGTCAAAATCCCAAATTTCTTCTACAGAAATTTATATAGCAGAATTTTTGTGCTTTACTTCATTTCTTTATATGATATAAAATTTCATAAGTACATAGGAGAAAAAATATCAGAATAAAGATAACTATTCATAAAACCATAATATAGCAAAAAATAAGTATGCCTGTAAAGACTATCCATAAATACCTTAAAATAGATGGGAGCCATATCACCCACTTCCTTTGGGAGAGGAATGCATTCATAAACCATATGATACTGTTTCTTCATGCTCATATTCGTTTCTAAAAAGATACAGTCCAATCCTTTATCTTCAAACATCTTTACCAATGATTTTCTAAACATCTGAAGAGAGGAAATGGCTAGGTAAATAACACACTGAGAGGAGATTCAAAATATGAGAAAAAAAAAGTATAATAAATTCTTTTAAAATTAAAAAAAATAGTAAACAATGTTTGAACTCTACAATTTTACCTTATAGTTACTTTACTTTCTAAATCTACCACATAATTTCACATAGTTAAGCAATGTGTTTTTTTTAACTGAAATGCATTCTGCTCAGTATTATGTATATGTTGGAAACAGTGCCAGTAAACTAAAATACGAAAAGGAAGAGATAAAAATCAAATTTAGGTGGTAAGATATATAGAACTGACAGTAAAATCATAGGAAAACATCCAAAAACCAAAAAAGGTACTCTGAGCAGGTAGGCATCCTTAAATTCAGTAACAGACATGCAGAATTCACTTCCAATTGTTTTTCTATCCTCAAAGTAACTTCATTTGCTGGTTCCCTTCATATGTCTTCTGATCCTTCACTTGCAAATTTTCACTCAGCATAATTCCCTAGAGATTCAACCAGGTTGTTGTTGAGACCCTGCCTAGTTACTGCCATGTGGAGATAGAAGTTCAGGTTTTCCATTCAAGCCTCTGTTGACACCCAAAAAGAAGAAAGCCTACAAATTACTGCTGGGTAGGGGTTGGGAGTTCTGGGTTCTGACCAGGTCTCCTCTGATCACTTATTATTGATCACTCATCACTATTCTATTTTCCACTCATTTTATAAAATAAGAACAAGTAGGAAAAAAAATCGAATAATTATAATTTGAGGTAAAATAAAAAGGTACCTAGTAAGCAACAGATACAGGATTCGCTCTACATTTCTAACCACAGCTATATATATAAGCTCAGCATTTTTTAAAATAAAAAAAATAGTAAACAATGTTTAAACTCCACAATGTTACCTTATAGTTACTTTACTTTCTAAATCTACCACATAATTTCACATAGTTAAGCAACATATTTTTTTAACTGACACTCACTCTGCTCAGTATTATGTATATATTGGAAACAGTTCCAGTAAACTAAAATAAGAAAAGGAAGACATAAAATCACATTTAGGTGGTAAAATTTAGGTTTAACTGTTGGATGACTGTTCTAGAGTCTATCTGGATAATAGCGAAGAAGACAGACTTAAGATGTCACGGATTATAAATGAAAACTCAAAAGTACTAAATTAGTAGTGATACAAGAATAGTTCAATATTATAAAATATATAAACATCATACTTATATTATATATATATATATAATACTTTAATTTAAAAATATGAGTTTAATGGTATAATTTGAGGTTATCAACTCCATTAAAGCAGGATTTCCCCAAGTTCAATACAACAAATACACTATACATAGTTAAATAATATGCATTCTTTAAAATTTATATGAAAACTAAACAATGAAGAAAGTGTTTTAGTTCATTATCATAAGATACCAAAACTATTTTATGCTTCACAGAGATGTAGAGATCTCATGTTACAGGGGCGAAATAAAATTCCTGTTATTACTAGTAGAAAACACTTCATCCTTCAGGTAATCACATTTTCCACGTTTCTAAACTATGATTACTCACCTAATTGCAATTCCTCATTTAGTTAACACATCTGGACTTATATTCCTTACAATATATTTAAGTAATCTATACTAGAGTGTTATGATTCTTACACATTACAAACCACATGATAAAAAACTCAGATAAATACACGTAAAGGAAGTTAAAATAAATATTAAAGTATTTTCATTAAAGATACCAAAGCTATTTGTCTGATGATATAATATTAATACTATAATTTATTCAAATTTTCTAAATAGAACATGTCTAAAGATAAGATTATCCAAAGATAAATGTTATGCAATAGTACAGAACATACACATTTAATTCTATACCCTTCATGAAGTGACCCCTCAAAAATTACATTAAGATAATTTTCAAAACAGCATAAAGCTATTAGAACAAAGAAAATGAGAGAAAATATGCTAAAAATCAGATCACCCCATATTATCTGACTTAAACACTACAAAGCTGGTTCACAGTTGGGTGATATAGGAGGAGGCAGTTTAGCAGGGATGGTAAAGAAGAAACCCATGCTACACTGCAGAATCCTCAAAAGGCTCAGGAATTGGCAACACCAAGGAATTATGGAACTAGAGGTGAAGTTGTAATGAAAAACAGATGGCACAGATGAAAGTCTTTTGAAAAAAATAACTAACACACCAGATCCCCTCCTCCACACCAGCAGAACACTATAGGATAAACTTCTGGAGAAGGCAAACAACAAAGTTGCTGGGCTAGGAAAACCAGACACAGTTGAGAGTATACGGTCTGAAAACAGGGGCATCATAAAAAATGTTACTTGGTGTTCTTAAATATTTGACATTCTGCCAAACCAGTCTTCTTTCCCAACTCAGCTCCCAGAACACTGGAAAGCAGACATAGATGCTCTAGGCAAGAGACTGAAAGAGAGTTTTCTGGAGAG